ACTAATACATTGTGACCGAAAGGTTTTCGGAGGTTCTCATTTAAAATTCGCGCGCTGTATATTTTTCGATATTTTAAGTTTATGTAGTTTGGCAGCACTGTCCTTAATTACTATGCCAAATGAGGCCGCCGATCTGTCAGACGTTTCGTTATACGGGGCAGGCGTGTTGAAACCAGTTCACCTCAGTAGTGCGTTGCGAAAAAAACAATGGAAAAAAATATTGAACAAAGAGTTTGCATCAAATTTTGTTTTTCGAACGAAATTTCGTGTGCAGAATCGTTGCGAATGCTACAAAAGGCTTATGGGGAATCAGTTTTATCGAAAACTCAAGTTTATGAGTGGTACAAAGCCTTTCAGGACTGTCGTACGACCGTCGAAGACATGCCGCGTTCTGGACGACCTTCGACCTCTACCACCGACGAAAACATTGAAAAGGCAAAGGAAATCGTGTTCAAAAATCCTCATGTGAGTGTTAGAGAGATAGCACGAGAGCTAGGCATCGGTCGTGAGATGGCTCGTTTGATTTTGGTGGACAATTTGTGTATGCGACGTGTCAACGCCCGGCTTGTTCCGATTCACCTCAATTTGTTCAACATTATCAACGATTTTAAGGCCAAACATTCAATAAATACCATCGAACAGCCACCGTATTCACCTGATCTTGCACCGTGTGACTTTTTCCTGTTTCCCAACCTCAAATTACCACTCAGAGGAACGCGTTTTGAATCCATAGAAGACGTAAAACAGAATTCGCAGAGGGAACTCAAAGCCATACCGGAAAGCGCCTATAAAAATGTTTTGATGATTGGAAGAAACGTTGGCATTTGTGTATCGCTTCTAATGGAGCATATTTTGAAGGAGATAAAATAAATATTGATGAAGATTAAGAATTTTGCGTTTTATTTATTTATGACCGGGAACTTTTCGGTCACAATGTATATCTGGATAACCAAGAATATATTGTAGTCATTGTGCCTGTTTAGACGAAATATATAATATGTAGGCATATTACAAAAACATTATATATGTAAATATAATAACCAACATAATAAGCATTTCTGGCTATTATAACATTTATTCGAATTATAATTAAGACTGAAATACTAATTAATAATAATGAAACATTATACAAGTTTGGCATTTGATTCACAGTTAAAATCATTAATTTTGTCAAAAAATGATAATTTTGATATCGAAAATAGTATTTTATATGAAAATTTTTTACAATTTTTACCAAATCTGATGAAATGCACTTTAAATTATTCATTTCTTCCAACCTCCAAAACATATTTATACAAAACGCCACATTACTGGAAAAGTGAACAATTCAATTAGAAATAATTAAAGAAATGTTTATTTAACATTATCCAGATAATAAAAACTATAATGAAGATAAGTGCGGTCTGTCCGGATTAATGGCAGCATACTGCATATTGTTTATGTGGATTTCGATAAGTTCTTCATAGTGTTTTAAATATTTTTCATATGAAGAGTTTATTTAAAGTACATACGGAAGGCAAATAGTACAAACTACATTTATAGTTTCATATTACTGTTATTGCACTTGAATTATATATTGATATATAATAGAACTGAAGTCATTACTATTAAGTTTGTCTGGCATGGTTATTTAAACAATTAGATAGATATTCGATTAAAGTAAGAGTTAGTACATATATATAGTATATGTGCATTCAGTTTCTTTAATAGTTAATACTGTTAGTATTAACAAGTATCACATATATATCAGAAATGCCAGCAATAGTTATGTTTTAAATTTCGGGAGTATATGCTCAATGTATGTGTCACCCATGAGATGCTTCATATTAAGCATATATTACAATTTTAACCTAAGAAACAGTAGTTTTGTTACGATTGGTTCTTTTAAAAAAATTATCTACCGCAATACTCGGGTGTATAAGAAATAAATAAATAAAATATTTTGAATATAAAAAAAACTTTACAAATTTTTATTTATAAGAAATGAGATAATATTTTAGATAAATTGAAAACTTTAGCATTTTCCTGATTTTTAATACGACATTTACTATTTCCCAATGTTTCAGATTTGGAAAACTACGCACGAAAATGGTTATATTTAAAGTAAAAATAGTTTTGTTCTATAACAATATAGAAGCCTTAAGACTTAGATTTTCTAAATATAAAAATTATATTAACTGTTATTTACATTGCATATGCCTTATAAATCACGTTGCTAATCGTTCTCACATCTATCGTAATATTCACTGTTATCTTAGCATGGTTTTTTTAACAAAACTTAATCTTTAGCAACTCCACGATAAAAATAATATCACTACAGGGTTTCTAAATAAATTCGTAGTATTTTTTTTAATGAATTGTTAACAAATGTCTCTTAATTGATGACTATTCACATTTTGTTTCTAATATTTAAATTATATGGAGATATAAACAAAGTAATAGAGTTGATTATGAGTATTTGGCAATACTCGAAACAGCTGCTCAGTCAGCCGAAATTAATTACAATACAAGTTTGTTGAAATTTTTCACTATTTAAAAACCTTTCTATTATTATTAATACCTATTTGCAAAGGGGTAGTGCACTGCGACCTAAAAGATGTATTGTGTCCCTTAGTCGGATAAGAGTGTTTCTCCAAGTCTGACTTCCTTAATTAAAGAGAGTATATAGCCTATTTTTCCTAGTCTTGCATCCTTATGATCCATGAAATACCCTTCTTGCTGTTTCTTTCGCTTATGCATCAGTGCTAGACACTCCCTAACCACATGGTATGCAGTTTCTCCTTTTCTCTACAGTTTCTGCAGTTCAAGTAGGATTGAATACCTAATTTCGTTAGATGATTATTCAATCTAGAGTGACCGGTCAATAATTTTGTTATGATTTTTAGGTTATTTATTGATTTTTCTATGCAATTAATGAGACGTTTAAGGTAGTAAGTCCCTCAAAGCATTTTAGATTCTGATAGTCTTGGTACTCTTTCCTAGTTTTCTTTCTTTTCCTTAGCGCTGTTCATAAAAATAGGTAGAGTTTTTTTGTCAAGACCATAGAAAGGTTCTAAGCCTATCATTTTTGAAACGGCATCTCTTCTTGCAAGTTTGTCAGCCATTCCATTGCCTTGGATACCAGTATGCTCCGGAATCCATATTAAATGCATCTGATTGTTCCAGCCGAGTGAGTGCTTTTCTATTAGTAAAATAGATTCTTTTTCGTAGATCAAACCTGGCAAATCTTTGAGAAAATTTCGTGTAGGAAAGCAAACTTCTCATAAAATTTGATGCACTGTAAATATGTGTTATAAAGTTAAGAAAATTTAAAGTTTTAAAAGAAAATGTCTGCTCACTTTTCTTATTGAAAGCAATTGAGTTTTATTATAAAATAGATTGAAGCAAGGATATAATACAGTCCTACTAAATCAGTCCTAAAATCCTTTAATATTTATGAACCTGCATGTTTGTGAAATTTACACAACTTTATAAGAAAAGTATCATTAAAAAACGAAAACCTCGTTTTAGCGTCAACAAACCTTCATCTTCTGCAAAATGAAGATGAATAAACAGATCTGTATATTCACGTTATAATAACTGTGAATATACTTCACGATTAAAGTGAATTTATTTTGTAATTATCACATTATTTATTTGTTATTTATTCTACTGTTTTAAAAATTAATCTGATACAAAATAATACATAATTTAATAAATTCATATAATTTATATTCATTTATATGATTATTTATGCGTAAATTTAGTTATAGCATTTAGTTATTTAGTTATTGCATTATTATAGACATTGTATTATTTAATATATTATATATTATATTATAATATTTATGGCTATTGTATTTGTATAGGTATAAAGGTAAACATCCTAGTTTTGCCTAAGTAATAGTTAAGTCTCGATTGATTTCCATTACTGTTATTATGGAATTATAATGTGGCTTACTGCACATAAAAAAAGTTAGTGCAAATAATGTAAGAAATATGTTTTGTAATCATTTTTCTATTTTAAAAACAAGAATATATGAAAAAACTGCACGTCGAAAATATATCGGTTATAATTGTCAGATACTTTTAGTCCTTATTATGTTGAAGCTGTTTTGAGCTAGTGCACTTTAGCACTTATATTCTTTTTAACTCGAGGTATTTTCAAAACTCCTCTTTACACCTTGACTAGATTATTGTTTATCACTTCATCAGACTAAGCAATAGTTGACCTCAGATTTGCACACCTCCCCGGGGAGTCTGTAACCATTTTGAGATTTGATAACGCGGTTTTGGTAAGTCTGTCAGTTTTTCAAATAATTAAGAGGACTCTATCCTTTATGTATTTTTTGATTGGATCAATCTTGATGTCCCTGAGGATGTCATTCGTCCTAATGTCCCATAGAACTTTAAAAAGTCTTCTCAGAGCCTGGATTTGTGCAATTTTAGCTGGTGAATAGTAGTGTTTGAAGCTTTGCTAGACGCTACACAACCATATTGAAGTGACGGACGAATTATTTGGTTATATATCAGTTTCCTGTTCTTAGTATTGAGTTTTTCATTTCTGAATAGTGGTTGAAGGTAATGAAGAATTTTGGCACAGCTAATTGTTTTGAGTTGAACATGTTTAAGCCATATGAATCATTTGTCCAACGTGATGCCGAGGATAAACTGACGCTATCCTCTCATTTTATTACCATATCATCCACTCTCACTCTCGACGGATTCTGTCTCCACTTACGTGTTATAAACAGAGCCTTAGTTTTTTCATTATTGATTTTTATTTTCCATTTCTGGAAATACTCCAGAATGAGGTTTATATGCTCTTGAAATGTGTTCGTTATGTTGAGAGCACATTTATCTGGGTATAGCATACACGTATTGTCTTTATTAGAAATTAATAATTTACTGCATTTTATCACTTAACAATTTACCAATGCTTTAACTGTCAAAAAAAAGTGAATAAAAATAATAAATATATTTTTCACATATGCTAAGTGATTTATTATGCCAAACAATAGTATCAAAATTAGGAATAAAAGTTTCTTTCAGGTAGAAAAAAACAAAAAAATTATAAAAATTACATGAAAATCCTTTAGGTTCAAAAAAGTTTCAAAGAAATCAAATCTCTGAAGTAACATCAGACTGGGAGCAGATAAAAGACACCGAAGAAATATTGCACCTTATTTATGCACAGGTTAGTCACTAAGAGAAATTTTATGATTTCATGAATTCATGATATAAAATTAATCGTAAGTTATATTAAGATTTTTGCTTATCCTTAACATGGTATGGCTGAAATTCTATGTAAAGGTGTTTTATTCAGTCAAAGTAAAGGTGTTTTATTGAATTTGTGATTATATGAGTATTGCTGCATTTTTATGCGGAGTCATGTTATTAACCTTCTGTTAAGTGATTGCGTTTCTTTATACAATGTATATAAGTAAGGTCAAATAAAGTAAAATTTTATGTGTTAAACTGACAATGACAACTGCAAACAATTTCGAACACCAATATTTTACGCTGAAGTAAACCTGCGAAATCAACAAATAGACTTGATCATGGATCTTTAACAGCTTCCTAGTGGTATACTCAGTGGCGGAGCTAGGCTAACTCTGCATGTCGGCGACATCAGAACTGCGACGCCCGCTTTATAACCCAGTTGTAAAAGTTAATAAGTTACATTCACTAATACGACAAAGCATGATTGAAAGTTTTATTGCTAATCAAATTAAAATAAACACAAATTAAAATAAATGAATTTTTCTACTTTTAGCTTCACTCAATTTTTTATTAAATTATATCATAATTTGCTCCAGCTGCTATTTTTGCTTCAGTTTATAGAATTTCCAATGAAGATAGTTTCTTTTAGAACATCATTCTTCTTTCTTTCCGTCGATGCTATACTAACTGGAACTGTGAACATAAATGTGATTACTATATAAACATTCGGGAATACTTCGAATATGGTTAATGCCATTATCAAACCAAATTGTCCAAAATATTTGTTAAGTGCTTAGAATCCACAGTCGGTAACTTTTTGCGAAGCCCCTGCGGCCGCGAAGATGTACTGTAGCTTGAGGTTGTTCATTCTGGTTGCGACTTGACATAGTTAGCATCGTTAGCTGGATTTTAACATCAACATGCGGCCCCTAAATGCAACTGTTCCTCAACGTTGTTATTTTGACTATGCCTGGATATGAACCGTAAAAGGAGTTAAGAATTGAATTTCATTGCTGAGATGAAATCATCGAACTATTTCCCCATACCAAACATCCTATGTATGTTTTTATTTTCCCTTACTAAACATCCTATGCATGTTTATTACGTTTCGGGGGCCATAGTAAGAATACAGCTTATTAGTCGTTCACATTGCTAGACCAATCCGTTAACACTCAATTCAAAAGATCTGAATCTTTTGATGTTTGTGATGCGATCACTTGAGTATAATAATAAGTTTTACTGTTAACCCAATGACAGCGCATTGGGTAACAGCTAAGAAAATCTACATTATATATCTTTCGGAAAGCGTTACGAAAAAGGCTGAAATTGCATTAAATGCAATAAAAGTGATTTGCGAAGCATCTGATTCGAAATGACATAAATCGGGAAATAAGCGCAACTGCTTTTTTGTTCATTTATGCGTGGTAATTTATTCCTTTGGAAATATTATGAAAGTAAACTGCAATTAGTTCATAGAATTTGTCTTGCATTTTGTGACTGAGCATAAAACATCAGACCCTACAACATAATGAACGTCACACCCGTACGGGCGGAAGGTGTGCAACGTGATGAATATTTTGTCAGTGAGGGGCCAGTATAGCGAGCAAGTTCTGATGAAAAGAAGTGCTCAAACTTATTTAGCGCTAACTTTATAGTTTGGTAGTTGTTCACAGCAAAAAATAATAATATTCGAAACACCACTTTTGGCGATTGTTAGTGGCTTATTGTGAAATTTACGACAAATATAGTGGATGTAAACACTGATGACTTCTTTGAATGAAATTTGATAAACTTTGATACTTATTCAGATCATAGTTGCAGATAAACAGATCTGTATTTGGATTTGACTTCACTTTAAAAGTTCATAGGCGAATAAGATTATTTTGGTTGATCAACGACCTAATTTGATTAACAAACTATATTCGTAGTTTATTTTCAATTTTATTTTTTATATATTTTATTTATTTTGCTATATATATTTCTGGCCTAGGCGACATTAAGTGTTGCCAAATCTTTGTATGGCGATGAAGCACCATCCTATAGTACGGTGAAAAACTAGTTTAATGAATTCAATGGTGGCCGACGCTCGCTCAACGACGAATTCAGTGAAGGTCGTCCAAAAACGGCCGTTGTGCCAAAGAACATTGAGTCCGTGCGTGAACTGATAATGCAAGATCGTCATGTGACATACCGTGAGATAGAGGCATCCTTGGGCATGTCTCCCACCAGCATACATTCGATATTGCATGAACACCTGGCCGTAAAAAAGGTTTGTTCTCGGTGGATCCCGCACAATTTGACAATCGCTCAAAAAAAGGCTCGTGTCGATTGGTGCAAAGAAATGTTGAAAAAATACGTTCGCGGTGCTTCAAAAGACGTTTTTAAGATCGTCACAAGTGACGAATCATGGATCTATGCGTATGAGCTCGAAATAAAACAACAATCGACTGCGTGAGTCTTCGAAGACGAACCAAATCCAACGAAAGTTGTTCGTTGAAGAAGCACTTCGAAGCAAATGGTCGCCTGTTTCTTCGGCAAAACTAGTTATGTGTCGACTGCTTCACTAGAGCAACGAAGGATGGTCACTTCTGAGTGGCACATATCAATTTCTTTGCCTGAAGTCTTCGGAGAAATTCGAAAAACGAACAAGAGAAGACGAATCATTGTTCACCATGACAACTCGACCTCACACATCGGCTCAAACCAGAGCCTTTTTGATCGGCCAAAACGTCGAACGTATGGCAGGTCATCTGCCATACAGCCCTGACTTGGCACCCAATGGCTTCTTTTTATTCCCGCACATCAAGAAAAAATGCGTGGTAAACGATTTTCGTCGCCAGATGATGCAGTTGAAGCGTTCAAAAATCATGTTTTGGAGGTGCCCCAATTGGTGCGGAAAAAGTGTTTCGACAATTGGTTTGAGCGCATGCAAAAGTATATAAATCAGGCTGGAGAATACTTTGAAAAACAATAAAACAATTTTTGATGATAAATATTCGCATTTTCATTATTAGGCCAGAAATATATACAGCACCCCTCGTACCCTTATGCTAATGCCTAATGTTCTTACTTACGAAGAATAGGAAATGTGGTACAAAAAATAATTGTCTTCTGTAAGGCAGATTACCACATCAGTCTTCTTCTTGCAGTCTTTTTAAGTATTCTTAGGTTTTGACGTTTCATTCGGCATACAAATGTGGTATTTCAATGGTTACCTGTTCTGTTTAGGTCCATTCTTTAAGGTGTTGGATTTTTTAGGTGCTATTAGATTTATTGGCGACAAACAAGAAAGTGATGTGTTTTTCTAAGAAGTGTTAATTACAATCTCTGTGCGACTTTTCTGAAAAGTTTCTGAGAATTCATTATATTTGTACTCCACAAGTTCACACTGGCTTTAAAATCACTGTATGAATTCTGAGTTTGCACAAAGTTATACGTGTGTATATTAAAAATCCAAAAGTATCACAGAAACATGTAATTTTACTGTCACAAAACAAAAAAATACATCAAAATTAAATTTAAAAGAATAACAAATCATTTTAAATCATTTTAAATTATCAGTGTACATCTTTATTTTTGCAATATATATTCGACAATAATATCCAAATTAGAAATGTAGTTCTCTTCCAGGAGTAAAAAATGCTTAACACTTAGCACGAACCCACAATTTTAGTGAGTTTAGAAATGGCAATGAAAAAAGCACTGTAACTTATTCTGTATTTTGCAAGATAAGTAACTAAATGCTTTCATTATAAGAGATAATTTTAATTGAAATTATTATTCACCAATTAAATCGAATTCGTTTAATACATTAAATACATTAAATTTTATAAGACCACACTTAGCAGTAAACAACAGTGCTTAAAAATGGAACAAAAACTTGCAAAACTAGCAGAAAGCCTGAATTTGAATGATAAACAAATGATGGAAATCAGAGAAGCCTTCACCATGTTCGATACGAATGGTGATGGCTCTATCAATGTAAGAGAATTGGGCACTGTTATGCGCTCATTAGGAGAGAATCCGACAGAAGCCGAACTTAAGGATTTGATAAGCGAAATTGATGCAGATGGTAGTGGAACAATCAATTTGTATGAATTTACCAATCTAATGGGCCGAAAATATACAGGAAGAAGTGACGAAGACGATGTTCGCGAAGCATTTAAAGTTTTTGATAAAGATGGGGATGGTTTTGTGACTTTTGATGAGGTGAAAGCAGTATTATTAAATATGGGAGAAAACTTAACCGATGAAGAATTTGAGGATTTGTTCCATGAGATAGATCTTGATGGTAACGGAAAAATAGATTATGAAGAATTTGAAGCTCTTATGTCTCCCATATCTAGAAAAAAACGTAAACTTAATTTTGATTCTGATTCAGACGAAGAGAATAATTAGATAACATAAGAATTAATTAACGGGCTCGCCTTGAACATTGTTTTATAGCAGAAATAAAACCAGTATACTTCCGGAAATCAGGAGGCATGAATTCTGACTACAATATTTTCTATTACTTACTTAACACATGGAGGTTGTGTCTAAACGTAAGGAAACGTGAAGTAAGTTAATAAATTGATTCCAATGTTAAGTAGATTTTTATATACTGTATAGTATATATACGAATATCATTGCTAATTGATACAAGTATAACACGTTAAACTTAATTGTTGCATAAACTTTATCCTTCAATAACATTCGTCTTGGCAACACAGAGCGATATAAACTTCTTACCCGCTTCAAACTGAACGCTTATTAAATAAGCGTTTGAGCTTCATTAAATGCTTGACATCATAGTTAATTTTATCCATCGATAGAGATAATTTACTTTTGTCATTTATATTATATGCTTTTTCATCACCAGTATTTGTATTGCATATTTTAGGTATGTATATATTTTATATATAGATAAAAATGACACGCTTAACTGACATGCAACCAATTTTAAACTGCTATAGCTTTCCAATGGATCGCAATCATGTGTCTAAATGTTATCTTTTGGTAGCTGATTTTGTGCTTTAAAAATGTTATTTGGACAATTAGCTGTTAGTACAGCACTCACAATTCTCAATAAGACATATCTCTTAGTGTCTTAGTGTCGTCTGTGACAAAAGTGGACAAAATTTTGCTAAGCCGATCGTACCAAAAATAATAATGAAGTGAATATTTAAAAACCAAATTTAAAGTGAAATTTCACTAGTTTCAAAAAGAGCAGGGTTTTTCTATATATTCACAAAAAAAATGTGGTTAAGAAGCTGTTATTGTTGCATATATATGCCAATTTCTAAATATTATTGAAGAACAAAATTGTCAAATTACTTAGTAATGAAATCGATATAAAAATTTGTGCATTTGAATAGTCACCAGAAGTAAAGAACCTTCATGTCTTTTGGCTTAGTGGTGGAAATTTGGATTGATGGTTGCTTTTATTTGAAGTTATTGGTTTTTAAAGTTTCCTGAAGCCGTAAGTAACTAAGCATTTAAATAAAAGAAATAAGATAGTTCAATAAAGTTCTACACCATCATATAAAGCATGTAGAAACCAAGACTGGCTTTTAAATATTGTTGCGAAATTTTAATTCTATTGTGCACATGCTTCAACGATCATCAAATGCAACCTGTTCGTTTTCTTGTATGAGTGATTGTGCAGGTAGAAGTTTGTTTTAAAAAACAAAATATTGTTATGAAGATATAGAAAGGTATTCGTTCTGAATGTATGAATTTCACAGAGTTACACATTCATATAATATACAACATATTTGAACAGCTTGTACAAATAATAGCGAGTATGTGTGGTTTCATTCTTTGGTTGCACTTTGGTTCCCGAGAGCTTAAAATTATACTCTTGTGATAATGTCAATAATTATTACAATTACACCATAAGCTACTTAACATTTTGCTGTGTTTGATGATCTTTATTTATAAATCTTTAGTAGTTTTTTCCAACAAAAACAAAAACTAGAGCGTTAATTGTTTCGATCAAGGTATTTATAATGGTTTTTTCATAGAACCAAGTCCGTTTTAGTGATAATAGGGCAATATAGTTTTTGCGGTCTATCTCATCTCTTGTGATCGTAGATCACGAGTTTTTATGCGATCCCATTTTTAAACTTCCGTGTATTTCTTTTTTTTTTTCAAACACCGCACGTGAGCATTTAACGTTACTTTCGATTTTGTTATAGTCTTTGTATGCACTAAATTTGGTCATTAATATTAAATAAAAAAATCTTTTTCTTTTTTTTGTTAAAAAAAAAATAAATCACAAATTAAAATTAACATTTTGAAAATTACTGTTCAAATGAGCCAGTCAGTAATTTGTTAAATTGGACTTTGCTACACGTATATCTTTCAGTTGTTTTGTTTAAACACCAATTTCATATATAAATACAGTAATCCCCCTTATAACGCGGTAGATTGGTTTCACGTTATATGGGTATTCCCGTATACCCCGTATATACATGTGCAAAGGTACGCGAAGCTAATTATGCACTATACAAACCCCCAGTGTTATATGGGGAAATACCCGTGTTATACGGGGGATAGAAATCGCATAATATGAAAACGCGTTATAAAGGTACCCTGTCATAGGGGAGTTACTGTATAAACTTTTCAATTTTCAAAATTATTATTAAGTATTATATATGCATAGTTCTTTTAATTTAAATAATATGTAAACAATTTTTAATTTGTTTACTTTCATTATTGTAATAATTTGGAATTTCATATGAAGTTCTAATTTTCAAATTTCATAGTTTCATCTGTCTAACTTACAGTTTGTCAACTATTAACGTTTCCATACAAAAGTTTCCAGGCACTGTGTACTTAATTTAGTTTAAGTGGCAAAACAATTTCAATTTAAAATTTTTGGGTTTCATTGCGCTTGTAAGCGCTATAATTGCGATATGTGCTCTCATAAGCAATGCAATAAGTCATCTAATAAGTCACTAGTAACATACTTTATGCATGCATGCAGTAACAACACTAACACCAACAACAATAACAGCACAGAGAACAATAAAAACTTTTGCAGTGGCATAAAGCAAAGGGGATATGGTAAAGCTTGAAAATCTTCGCTTTAAGCCTTTTTAAAATCCCAACACAATTTTCACTTCGTCACATTTATCGCAGCAAGAGTAGTGGCAAGAATAGTTTTCATCGGTAGCAGAAAAATCCCTTAAGTGTGCAATGTAGTCATATGCAGATTTCGCACAAATAACATCAGCCAAATTACGATTACAGCGCATTCATTCTTTAGCATACATACGAATGGAGTAAGTCAACAACGATCGGCACATAGGCAAGAAGTTTTACCGTTTAACAAATGACGAAATACGCGAATAAAGAACTTACTTCGTATGTTATGTAGGTATTTGTACTTGTGGGATGAGTAATTGTACAAACGGGATGAGCATCAGTGTGTAAGTGTGTAGTGTATGCAAAAACTAACGCATAGACTAAATGTATTTAGTTCGCGGTAGTATCAAAAAATATCAGATATATAAAAACTACATGCACATGTACACATACGAGATATACATTTGCATGCATATAAGTCGTTAAATAAAAGCATTCATGTCATCTCTGCATACTTGCATGAGTGCCAAGCAAATATTTATGCTTTCACTATAGAGACTTTCAACTTTATTGCTTTGTAGTTGGTTTAATTGTTTTTGTTTTTTTATTTGCTGCTTTGTTGTTATTGTTGTTACTGTTGTTATTGTTATTGTTTATCTTTGTTTATGTTTTTTTAGTTTGATATTTGCTTTATGGTGAATGTGAAAACTGTTGCAATTTCTGCAGGTTAATATAATGAGAAATTGAACTTTATATGGATGGACTTTTCACACAGATTGTAATTACTAACATTTTAATTAAAATATAATAAATAACAAAAAAATAAATAAATTGCTTCGAAGAGTGAACACTATTCATATTAATAACAAACGGTTAACTAAAATTTTAACAATTGTGGGAGAATTAGGGGACTTAGACTACATTACGGATACTTTAATCTAAATAGCAACAATGCTTTGCATGTATTAATCTTTCGTCAATATTATGATGCATAGACGTTTGTTCGAATCAAAGAATATAACCGTGTAATTACAATTTGATAACGAATGAATGATATAAATATATAGAGTAAGGAAACTAGTACCAGAATAGCGATAAACTAATAAAATTACAGAGCATCTTCATTGAAGTGAAAATAAGAATGATCATGAAATTAAGAGCCCACACTTTTTAAGGTGAACTTGAAAAGTACGAACTATAGCGGGATATAATTACTAAACAGCGTGGTGTTTTTGCGAAACAAAAGAAATGTAAGCAAGAATTTGGATAAAAAAATTTTATTTGAAAAAATACATATTTCTTTTTATTACTCACTTAAATGGAGATAACAACCTTCTACCGGGTTTCGGTAAACGCACCACGTATCTCTAGATGCCTCTGCTGTTCGCCTCGCCTTCTTTAGTCTCGTACATTAAGAGCGGGTAGTTCTTTCGCAACTTTATCAGTTCACCGGAGACACGATTTCCACTACTTTTTTTTTTCTTCAATTGTCGCTTCAAATACCTTTTTCACTAGAGCATCGTTATCCATTCTCACGACTTGATCAGATCATCAAAGAAGCTAGATGTTAATTCGGTGTATTTGGTTCATGCCGATGTAGTGATCGTTAGAGGATTAAATATTGTATAAAGAATTTTTCTCTTGCATCGTCCAAGTGCTTATTCTGCGATAACGTTCATATTTCTGTGCCATATAGTAGTATGTAGATGTACAATTGGACGAACGACCTATAGAATGTAGGTTTTGTCTATCGAGAGTGAGCTGTGCATCCTTATTGCCTACTGAGCCCATGGTAGTAGCTATTTGTAATGGTAATGCTTCGTCTGCACTCCAGTCTAACATTCTAGTTGCTTGTTACGGTGTCGTCAAGTTAGATGAAATCCTGGATAGATTTGAAGATACAGTTGTCAGTCACCAGCTTGGCGTCCAAGCGATGCATATTTCTACCAATAGCCGACATATATTTCGTTTTGTTTTCATTCACCAATAAGCTAATTTATGCTGATTTCTTTGCGATGGTAACTAAGACAACTGTAGTATCATTCTTGCTACGCCCAATGATGTCAATGTCGTCAGCGAGAGCAAGGAGCCATGAACATCAGCTCTACGTATGATCACGTCCATTAAGAAAATGAAAATATCACATGATAAATACATTTTGACTACTTTGTGAAAAATCTATATAGATTTTTAGAAAAATCTAATTTTCTAATTTTAAAGACCTTCATATCAGCAAATATGATATGTTTAGTCAAGAAGTACTCGGGTATCTTACATCAATAAGAGAGAAATGTGAGGTATTATTTTTCGGTTCTGAAATCTGGCAGAAATCATGTTAAAATTTTTTCTCATTTTATGCAGTAAAAACTGTCTTAGATATATATAAAGCTTCTAAGATCTTCGTGATAAAAAACTTTTATTTTATATAGAATCATATTATTAATTGGATATTCTATTGATATTAAGTGTAACTTTATTTAGTGATATTATACTTAAATAAGTGGGCGTTACTAACGTTATCATTATTAAATAATGAATATACTTATTTATTTTAGATTTTTTTGGCCAGGCTTTGTTCGTTAACTGGAATCATCTAACAATTTGACTGAGTTTACTTAATAACCAAAAATGGCTAATAACTTGAGTCCAGAGAAAATGGCTGAATATAGGGAAGCTTTTACTTTATTCGATACAAATGGTGATGGCAGTATTACACTAGAGGAATTGAGTAGTGTTATGCGTTCACTTGGACTGAAGCATACCGACTCCGAATTTGCTGAAATGATTCGGGAGGCAGATGAAAATCAAAATGGCAAAATTGAGTTCAATGAATTTGTAGATGTTATGACACGTTCGAATGGAATCGTTGATGTTGAAGCTGAAGTGCGCGAAGCTTTTAATGTTTTTGATGAGAACGGTAATGGTTTTATATCACCGGATGAGCTCCGACGTGTAATGACACTTTTGGGAGAGGAGTTATCAGACGATACAATTGGTGAAATGATACGCGAAGCAGACTTAAATGGTGATGGGCAAGTTGATTTTGATGAATTCGTTGCCATTATAAATTCAACTAATCTTGACTAATAATAAAATAAAAATGTTTTACACTCAATTTGTAATGATCTTATAATAGTATCACACAGCTGACCTGGAAGGAACCTATTAGCAATATAACATTTTATTCTAATTTACAATAAACACAAAACAATAGTAACGAATTTTTGGAGTTTAATATCTCAATAACAACCTATGCAATCTGCATAGCATATTCAAAAACTAAATACAGTTTAAGTAAGTATAGAAATGAAGCATATCAATGTTGTTTAATAAAATTTTAAATTATTATATACTCCAGATAGAGAGATTAAGGGAAGACCTTAATTAGTAATGTAGGTTTAAGCTAAAAATTTGGCAAGTAAAATGCCATTCTTTAAATTTTGTTGTACTCTTAGAACTAATTTTTATTAGAAACATGGTAAATGCAATACTATTTACTGGTTTCGGTTAGGTGCGGTGTCTGGTGATATTTGTATCATTTCAAGTTTTATTATCATTTGTATATATTAGGATCTGTGACATTTGATTATAGGTACTATTTCCATTATATTATTTATTTGTGCAATGATTAACATGTACTGCAATGTTGAAAAATGTAATAGTCTTAAAATATATATTAAAATATAACTCAGATAGTATTATTAGTTCACCTATAACTTATATGTGGTATCTCTAGTTGGTCAATATAAACTGATGAGTTTAGTTATGCTGTTAATAAGATTCTAGAATATCTCGAAAATTTGAACAGTCATTGCACAATCTGGTGCAGATCTTCTTCACCGCTGGTCTGCGGAAAGTGGCCATAACTGTTCTGTAGAATACTATAGTTAACTTAGATTGTATAAAAAAGTTGTTACAAAATTTATACAAACTAATTTAATTTTTGTTATTTCTATCAAATTTTATATTAAATATGATTTTCCCTTATACAAGTGTAGCTTACACCATCAGCCGGTAAATGTGGTTATTTGTCTTTAACTACACCAGTTTTTTGAGAAGATGTTGGTATTTTTTCTTATAAAAAACATTTAATATTTAACCAGTCATTGCAGAACATAACGTACTATTATTAATTTCGCAGTATGTTTTAGGTTGAGAAACACTACTATAGTAAAAATAGTAGAAAATAGTAGCTGATGATAAACACTTGTAATTTGTAAAGACTTTTAACCCCGAAAAAACCATTTCCCATTTAATTATTTAATAAATATATATTAGTTTGAATAGACACTCTAAAAATTAAAAATTTGTTAATTCCCGTCAAGTGATATGTAATCATAAAAATTGCTTCAATGTATGATAATTACTTTGAAAAAACATAATGCACTTTTTAAATAAGTAAGCATTGCATTTTTTACATTTAATTATTTCTAAGTTTAATATTATGAAATAAAAATTTTGTTTAAATATTTTATTTCAAGTACATATTTCAAAATTTTTTTCCTCCTTAGCTGGTTAAAATAAACTCAGTTTTCTTTCGCCCGGACTGATAAGTCTCTTCACTCTGATAACGGCAAATTAGTAATCGCTGTATCGAGGGAGTTTTACATATATTAAAAAGATGTCTGAGCCTTTATCAGAAGAAAAAATTAATGAATACAGGAAAGCTTTCACACGCTTCGACAAAGACGGAGATGGTAGTATTACAATAAAGGAACTTAATTCTGTTATGAATTGTCTTGGTATATATCCTTCAAACTCTCAGTTTTCTGAAATTGTTCACGAAGCACGTTTAGTCAATATTGACAAAATTGAGTTTTCTGATTTCCTTAGTATAATTATTGAAGGAAGGATGTTGAAGGAAAGCGAGACTGATTCTAAAGTGCATCAAGCTTTTACTCTTTTCGATAGAGACGATGATGGCTATATATCTCTAACTGACCTACGTTCAGTTATGCCCAAATTGATTACGAATATCACTGAAGAAGAGATAGATGAAATGTTCTATGAAGCAGATCTGGATGACGATGGTAAAGTTGACTTTGAGGAGTTCGTTGTTATGCTGAATTCATGTGTAGACAAGGAGGAAGATTCAGTTTAGTCTCTTTTATATGACATATCAAATCCGTAAATGTTCCTTTGTTTTTTTTCAAACAATTATAAATTGATATAAACTCCCATTAATATAACCAGATAAGAAGATATTTTGGTTTTGTTTAGTTATTTTGCGTCCAAGAGCTTTTTAAGTAAGTACGGTGTTTATATATTTGAATTAAGAATGGTATGTATGTAGTATTAAAAGCTGCTATTATAAGCGGATTGGTCAAGAGATCTTCTTAGATGTTTTCATCTACTTCAATCAATCCAAATAACATTATCACTGCAATTATTAATACGATTAATAAAATATAATTTCTATTTAAAAGAAAATCTTTTCTGCGCTATAATTATCGAGGTCAAATAGTGTAGCGTAGTCAATAAATACAAAAATTGGATTGGTTGCATTAAGCTGGCCAGAGAAGTCTTCAATATTTAATAGTTGTATATTTTATTATTTACTTTGAGGAAAATAGTTCAAGAGTAGATATTTTTTCAAGTATTCTTGTGAATCTAAGATATGAAAAATTAGTAATATTTTGAGTATACGTAGATACTTTTGTTATTTGAAATTAATTTTAGCTTGAATTCACTGTTGATTTTGCTTGAATTAAAGTTGATTATCAGGCAAAATGTAAAATTAAGAAATGAAAGCTTTTGTATGATGATTTATTAAAATTTTCGGAAAATTTTATCAACACTAGTATGAATCCATACATATTTCCACTATTGACAATGAAGCCTCATCCTTTGAAACTGTTGAACGCTGATGTAATTAGCTTGTTTGCGAACTTCGTTCACTCAAGGACGAAATATGAGAAGTATGTATGTTGCACTGCGAATTTGAGGCAGTCTTAGGCATTAGTTTCATCAACATAAATAAAGTAGAGCATGTTTATTTAGTCGTGTGTATTATTATGAAAGGTGCGCAATCATAAGTGTGTATGTATGAAGCGGAAAACAGAAAGCTTGAAACAGATTCGGCCGACGTTGGGTTTACTTCAATTTATTCAAAATTTGATGAAAAATCATCAAACTAATGCTTTGGAAACTTTCAGCCTAGTGGAAAAATTGCTATGATAAGGAATGGAAAGGCAATATATTCTGTCTGAAAGTAAGCACTAAATTCTGTCTCCTCTGATTTTTTTGCTTTTGCACTTAAAAGAATGTATTTGATCGCATATAATGACGGTGCAGATTTGCATTATAATTTAATTTTTACTTATCGCTCTCATTACAAGCACATTGAACTGAGAGAAAATTAGTAAAAACCTGTTAATCATATAAATTTTTTACTGAATATTATATATGGAGCAAGAGTTTCTAAAATCTGGCGCTCCAACATTGTCCATCATTTTCTCATCAAAGTAGAATTTGATTTAGTTCTATGATTGGAAATAGTAATCTTAAGTTGTAGGTTAGTTAGTTCTAAGAAAATGATAAGGTTGCATATATATCTAAAGCTAACATTACCTTGAATTATCTTATGTTATATTTAGAAATACGGAATGCGTTTGATGTATTCTTGGTAGTAAGAAATGTCCATGGTTTTGTCATGTAATCAAACTGCTTTAGATATCTAATAGTATAATTGACTTATCAGTTGCCAAAAGTGGTTGAACTATTTATCATAACTTTTAAGTGGCACTACATTTAACAGAGATGTGAAGCACTCGATAATCGCGTACCTTAATATCATCGATGTACTTTTTCAGAATTTTAAAGTGATTAAATGCAATCTCCTTGTTTTTCAGAGTCGTTAAGCAAAAATCGTGTTCAATTTTATTCTTTGACAGTTTTAATACTTTTAGCAAAGAAGTATTCAGATTTGTTGAGTAAAATTTTAAATTATAGAAACTTTTGTAAGAATAGTTGCCGAAATATTTCAATAATTTTTTTCATATTAAATGTGATTTTAACGCCAATTATGATGGTAGTGACTATTTTACTCGAACGGCTTTGAACAGTACTGAATTACAACAACAAACAATTTTTATTTATTTGTAATTATTTGAATTTTTGTCTTACAGTCTCAAAAAATTATGTACGAATAATTAAAAATAAGAAATAATTCTACAACTACTGATGGTGGGTTTTTGGCAATACTTGAAACAGCTGTATATATGGTATTATATTATATATAAATAAAATTGTTGTTGCAATTCATTACTATTCGAAACATCTCCGTCAGTTCTTTTTTAACTGGTTGTGACACTTTAATCAACCGTTATTAGATAAGTGAAAATATTCACTTCAGTCGAGAGTTAACGTAAAGTATTATCTCTCATATTAAATTGTTTTTTGCTAGTGATATTAATATTTCTTTATGACACATCACATATGCTTCTGTTTATTGCAAGTCTGCCTTAAATAATGAAAGCTTTAAGAAAATTTAAATAAAAAAGATAAAAATATATGCCAATTTAGTTTTGTGCAATTATTGCTCTGTGTTTTATTTGCTCTCAAAAAAGAGCAAATATTCGTAACTTGCAATCATTTTCGAAACAAGTAATGCACTCGAAAAAATTGTGTATAATTTTTAAAATAGCAAAAATAAACTGCAAATGTTACTTTGATGTTGTCATGTGGTTTTTCTTGAAATTTCGCTAATGATTTCTGGTATTACATTTTTGTTTCATATAAAATTTATTTAATTTTTGTTTCATTTTAACAGAATTAGTTTCGTTGAATTTCAGTTATTTTCTTACCATATTGCAACTGCAACAACATCAGCAACTTGCCGCATACTTAGCATTTTTGATAGTTTTTTGTTGGCAGCTTATTTCAGTTTCAACACAAATTGTTGCTGTTATATTTTTGGTTTTCTCTAACTTCCCATACTCTTCCCGTACTCTTGATAAAGGAGCAGGGAATAAGGACTTGTATGAAACAAAGTATTTCCACTTACTTATGAGATAATATTTCAGCATTTTGGCGGAAACCATTTTGTACTTGCAATTTATATATTTTGGTCGTTTTTCGTAAATTTCTACTGAAAACTTTACTCGAAATCATTTTTCATTCTGGTGCTGCAATTCTTCTTCCTCAGCAACATATTCTCGTAGGTTTCTTTCACAAGTGCTATCTTTAAAAGACAAAAATATACAAACAATAAATAAATCACACCATTTGCATCTTCAAAATCGCATTGCAGTTATTTTATGTGGGGTTTTACTGAATGCAAATAATTTCCAGCTGCTTAATTTGTTGAAATGCATGTTTTTCAATATTGTATTGTAAGCAACATCTGCACTCTATACTCACTGGTGTACTTAATAGACGTATTGAATATATTTGAGTATCCATTATATCCTGTGGTACACCTTATAGACGTATTGAATATGTTTGAGTATCTATTGCTCTGAGAAAAAGTTAAACCTACCAAATTAAATAAAGACCACAATTTTATGAGAGTTTTAGGTTGAACACATACTTCTTTCCGCTTGCTGACACATATTTGAATTAAATAATCATCTAGAAGTTATTCTTAGAAACTAAAGACTATCTAAGCTCCTAATTTCAGAACACCTTATAAATATTTAATTCTCTGCGAAATATATTAAACGATCATTTTGTACTATTTTAAGCAAAAGTTTATATAATGCAGTGATCAATAAATGATTTTGTCTAAAAAATGAATTGTTTCATTAAAATGTTGATTCAATCATTTTTAGTGCATGAAAGATCGTCTTGTTTTTAAAAAATGATATAAGTCAAAGAAACATTTAGTCTCCCTCATATGTATAAATATTTTTCAAGTTACATATATAACTGAAATTCTTCAATCTTAATTTTTCAAGATTGTCATTTTTTTTTAATTTAATCGTAAAACTAAATAAATGTGTTTCATCTCATACAGAAAATTATATGAAAACACTTTTATAAAGAAATCCGATTTTCGAAAGATAAGCGCCAGTCTAATTTATTTGTTAAAACTAAAAAAGCAATTCTCTAATAAAGACAATGTTAACTGAGCACTGACTGCTTACGTGAATGTGGTGAACGAGTTTACTTCATAAATCATATGAATTAAATTAAATAGCACGATTTCTAGTATGAAGAAACAATGAGATCTTTTGAAGTCGATTATAATATTTGTAGGAATTATCATTGCATTTAGATTCCTTAGGTTTTTGATTATTATGTATGTTTAGAAATATTATTTTAGATCTTAATGTTAAACCTCGTTTAACTATGTTTTAATTTTAAGCTCTTTTCTAATAGTGTACTATTTTTTTCAAAATCATTAGTAATTCTCAGGTTTCTAATTGAAATTAATAATGAATTCTCTATATTTTTTATAACTAAGAATATTTGAAAAAACATACTGTTTTCTCAATATAAGAAGAACATATATATGAGAACACATTCAACCATATTTTTATTTGAATCCTTCGTTTATTGGTACAATTTAGATTCCTTAGGTTTTTGATTATTATGTATGTTTAGAAATATTATTTTAGATCTTAATGTTAAACCTCGTTTAACTATGTTTTAATTTTAAGCTCTTTTCTAATAGTGTACTATTTTTTTCAAAATCATTAGTAATTCTCAGGTTTCTAATTGAAATTAATAATGAATTCTCTATATTTTTTATAACTAAGAATATTTGAAAAAACATACTGTTTTTTCAATATAAGAAGAACATATATATGAGAACACATTCAACCATATTTTTATTTGAATCCTTCGTTTATTGGTACAATTTATTCTTTTAAAAATCGTTAGAATTTCTCAACTCCTTGAGAAAAATAATATATTACTCTCTTAATGTAAGACCTTATTCAATCATTTTTAAATCTGAAGTCCGTTTTGTCTTGCACAACTTATTCTTTTGAAGATTATTAGGATTCCTCAGCTTTCTTAAGGAGAAAAGTATTAAACTCCTTTGATATAAGATGTTATTCATTGATAGTTATATTTGTATCTATTTTCGTCCAGCACAGCTTTTTCTTTAAAGTTTGTTCAAATTCCTTAAGAAAAAAATTAGAAGGAGGAAATGTAAGCATCTCTCAAGTGGAGATATACGTGGTAGATAGATACGCTAGTTTTAACCTTGAACACAACTTCCAGAATCGTAATATTGTAATACTGACTGACAGCCAAG